CGCCCTCTGGCCTTCGGATGGAGATTTACTGCTGATCACAGAACCGTGCTTCACTGAAAGATACGCATGACAATCACAGCTTCTGTCGAATCGTGATCTCGATTCCGTTTCGATTTATCGTGCAGCCCTAAAATGTATTAAAAAAACTGTTATATTGTGTAATATTGCTACATTTTAAAATAGCTAAATTATGAGAACTGGCTTCCGTTAAAAAAATTGTTGTAGTGTCGACAGTTGTTATTGTCAAAGAGGAACATTCTGTGCTGTGACGCAGAAGAACAATCAAGTGCAACATGGATGCTTTGTGTTCTTCCCTTTGCTTTGGATTTTTCACTTGCAGAATTGTAATGACTACAAAAATGCTTTGTGGTCTGAATGAAGCTTTGAAGCTTCATTATCAGATTCATTGATTCAGTAACTGTTCTGATGGGTTGAGTGAGTTCATTCAATCAAGGATTCATCAGATTGAACATAACCTATAATTCGTGAGTTACTAAATGATTCATTAACAGAATTGGTTCAGAAGAGTTGTTTGTACTTGAACTGCACTAATTAGCTACACTAGTTTCATCTCCAGTGTGTGACCAGCATTTTATTATGTTTCTGTTTCTCTCTTCCTGTCTGTTTCTCCAGCAGGCGAACAGTGAGTGGCAGTGTAAGTGGCAGCAGTTATACTGGCTCCAGCTCACGCTCAAGATCCCGTTCCTCCTCCGCCTCACTCTCCCGGTCCCGTTGCGGGTCCCACAAGTCTAGGTATGCGATGCACAGAGACAGTAGAGTCCAAAGGAAAAAATTTCCTATTCTAAAAAAAATCAAATGCAGATATCATGGAATCACAAGATTGTCTGTGTGGTTTCACAGGTCTCTGTCGGTCAGTAGCGTGTCATCTGTCTCATCCGCCTCCTCCAGTAGTAGCTCAGTCAGGAGTGCCGACTCTGATGACATGTATGCTGACCTGGCCAGCCCCGTGTCCTCCGCCAGCTCCCAATCACCCACTCCAGGCCATGCCCGCAAGGAAAGGGGCCCTCCTCGGGACAAGGGCCCCAACAAAGACAGAGGTACTGTGGACTTGTCGCATGTGACTCCAACATGCCATTAATCTAATTTTAAAGGGGTCATATGATGCGATTTCAAGTTTTCCTTTCTCTTTGGAGTGTTACAAGCTCTTGGTGTATAAAGAAGATCTGTAAAGTTGCAAAGACTAAAGTCTCAAATCCAAAGAGATATTCTTTATAAAAGTTAAGAGTCAGCCAAGCCTACCTAAAACGGCTCCTTCTAACACGCCCCCACATATCTACGCCGCTCTGTGGGAAGATTTGCATAACGCCGCCCAAATGTTCACGTATTACACCAAATACACAAAATACTGTTCTTTTTAGCAACATCATATGACCCCTTTAACATTGTTGTTTTGGAGTGGTGTCATTGTAAACTAAAAATGAGACTAAAAATCCTTCACTGAAATGAAGCTTCAGTAAAATAAAATATTAAATGAAAAACTTAACCTTAGAAAACTTTAAATTAGAAATGTTGCTTTGGAAGCTAACTGAAATATCTGCCAAGCTAAAACTGAAATAAAAATAATAATAAAAATGAGAAAAGCACATAAAAAATTACTAAAATATAAACAATAAAAAATAAAATGAAAACCGAAAATGTAAAATAACAGTAATTCAAAATATTAATAAATATTTAATGGTATATAAATAATGCTATAATAACATTGCTGTTTTGTTTGGTGTTCCTTAAAGGAAAACCACCACCAAAACCACCAAAAAAGGACGAACCTTTCAAAGAGGAGCGAAAACGAGTGGACCCCTCCGGTCTCCCACCCAAAACCAGCTCCAGCATGCCTAGATCCGGAAACAGAGGTCACCCCATGCTCCCGCCTCCTATGGGTCCTCCAGGAGGATACGGCTCTCACAAGGACATCAAACTTACCCTGCTCAACAAGGTAAATGGGGAAGGTGTCGTTATGGTCATGCAGCTGCTCAGAAATGTATGATGGTTGAATGACTTTTTAATTCCTCTTTGGCCAGCAGCAAACCGACAGGGGCAATAGGAAAAGGTACTTTCCTGCCGATAAAGAGCGACCCCCTTCGCCTCTCAGCAAGAGGATAGCACTTTCACCTGACAGAGGTAAACAACACAACACGGCACATTAGCTGTCCATTAGAAAACCCCTCCAGAAATTTAATATCTGATACGGCCAGATACGATTGTGGTTAAGCTCTTTCCTCAAAGGATGTCCGGAAGTTCAGTCAGATGTGCACCTCACAGCAATCTGCTCTCTCGTTTCCTCAAGCTTTACTCTCTGATATGTCCATAGGTCGAGACAGGAGGATGCCCGGGCGGCCCTCGATGTCTCCCAGAATGGATCGGCCCAAAGGCCAGGGTCCTCGACCCATGCCACCACAAGGAGAAAGGTACTCACTGCCACTTTCTTTTCTGTCACACTTTCTGAATATCCCTTCAAATATGTGGTGATTTCCAGTAGTCAATTGACATGTTCATGTAGGGAAAAATGTTTGAATGAATTTAAATTAGTTAATTTGATTTGTTTGCATGAGAACTATTAGTTGCCCTTTGATATGGGTCTGTTTGTGTAAATAACACATTCAGATGTCTCATATTCTGTATGTTGAGCAGTGATTGTGAACAGATTTTTGTATTAATCTAGCTTTAAAAAAATATATAAAAATAAGTAAATAAAAATCCCCATGTTTGTTCAGCATTAGTTCCCTTTTTATGTGCATGGTGGATCAAGGTGTTTTGTAACAAAAGCTTTATCTTTGTGTGACTAAGACTAGAGATTTAAAAATATCCCATATTTGTAATTTACTCAATTCTTTATATTTTCCCTCTCCAGGAAGCGTCCTTTATCTCCACCACCCAAATCTTCTGGGAAAGGTCCTGCTGCTGTGTCTACAGGTAAACCACCTGCGCCCGGGGCTGGATCCGGCTCTGGCTCCGCTTCTAGTTCCGGCCCGGGCAAGCCGAGCAGCACACTTTCTCGTCGCGAGGAGCTGCTGAAACAGTTAAAGGCTGTCGAGGATGCCATAGCCCGCAAAAGGGCCAAAATCCCTGGGAAATAATAAACCTGGCGTCATCCAACTTCTGGGACATCTGTTTTCTTAACGCCCATTGTTTGCCAGAAATGGTCGCCGTTCTGAACTCTAAGGGCATAAATGTCCTAGGGAAAAGAGACCGCCGTTACATTTCTGCTTGTTTTGCCCTCAGAGAGAGGTTGTCTAGATTTTATATTGATGTGCTGAAGTTGAGAAGTGGCCCTGTTCACTTGTTTGTTTTCGCAGGAAGATGGAATCTTTTCTGTAGTGTGTCTCAAAGATAAAAAATTGTACATTCAGCGCACATTTTTGCTCTTCATCCTGCCACGATCCCTTCTCTCTCATATTCTAGTTGCTTTATCCCTACTCTTGTTATTTTATGTGGTGAGTGTGACAGATGTATGCTCAATCTGTTTCGACCATCCTGGACACATCTGCGCATTTCACGTTGGTCCTGCTCAAAGAATCTGGAACTGTCTTTTCATAACCTTACCGTTAGGAAAGTCCACCTTAATCAATGAATTTGACTAGTATCCACCACCACGTATTTAGCATTTACTGTTTTTCACAATGTACAACTACAAAGTCAGGTGCCAGAATACCTGTTGCTTAAAGTGTATGATTCTAGAGAACCAATGACAATGATGTGAAGTATTGCTTTTTTTAAGATTCTGCATTTGTTTCCCCTAGTTTTTCAAGTGAAAACCTGCATTTTATTTGTCCCTCATTTTTAGTTGAAAGTGTGAGAGGCTGCAATGGGGACACCTGGAGATAAGGAATAATTACGTCTTGCTTTTTGTGACAGAAAAAAGCTTCTAAATAAACTATTTTGATAAAGATAAGGAATCTGTTGAAATGCTTCCTCTATAATGGAAAGATTGCATCTAATGGAAGGCTTTTCCATCTATGCACATATGAGTCTGATGCCCTACTTTGTTTCTCCAGAGCATGTGCACATATCCATCACTGGTGTGCGGTTTTATTTTATTGCTTGACTCTGTTTGTTGATCCATTATACTGCTTCTGCAGCTTAGAATCAATACCTACAGCAAATTAGTGAGATAATTTATTGACGGGGTTGGAACATTATTCATCTTCCTTTGTTTACTTTTATACGTCATAAGTTGTAGGAGTTAAATAATCTTATACGCTCTTCTATGATTACATCCACATTCTTTCATAAGTTATTTTAAATGATTATGCTGTCATGATTTGTACAATTAGTGTTGTGCACTTCTGATTTAGTGTCAGTGCAGCTGAATATAATACAAATTACTGTTGACTTCAAACTGTTGGGTCATTGTATAAAAAATAAGCAATAAAAATGAGTTTAGTATAAAAAAAAATTAAATGGTTCATTAATATTAGGATGTTTAATAATTATTTTAAAAAAATGTAAATGTGCAGTCTGCTATGAATAATAGGTATTTCAAATTGCATATATATATATATAATACACTGATTATTACAATTTCAGTCAGCATGTGAGTGAAATTAATTCACTGTGTGTGATTGATAGCCAAAATAACCAGTTTCGCATTCTCTGTAGAATGTATAGAATTTATGCATGAAGCTTAGGGGACTCCTGGGGAGATGTTTTTCAGATTGGCTGATCTGATGATGTTGGGAAATTCACTTGGTCTTGTCCCGTGATGGCGACCCCACAGGCAGCCAAAACTGCTGTCAAAGCTCATTTTAGTTAATGAATGACCTGTTATTGAGGTCTTTGTCATGTCCAAAACATCCAGGGGGCTCCCACAATTTATCTCCACATTCACTCTTTCAGGGATTTGAAAAGGTCACAAAATGCTCAGAAAAAGGGAACTTTTGTCCATCTGAAGCAGAATATTGGTGATACCTCTTCATGTTAAGTAATGTTGTTAGATTTAGTCTTAGTGAAATGCAGGGTAAGTTTGGTACATGTTTTGTGTGAGTAACACATCTGGGGTTGTCTTGCAACACTTCTCTTTAATATTAATGGAGCTATTAACTATGGGACCTTACATCTCCCCTTTCCTATCAAAGAAGACAATGTACATTACATTACATTAAGTCATTTAGCAGACGCTTTTATCCAAAGCGATTTACAAATGAGGACAATGGAAGCAATCAAAATCAACAAAAGAGCAATGATATACAAGTGCTATAACAAGTCTCAGTTAGCTTAACGCAGTACACGTAGCAAGTTTTTTTTTTTAATAATATAATAAAAATGATGTTGGGAAATTCACTTGGTCTTGTCCCGTGATGGCGACCCCACAGGCAGCCAAAACTGCTGTCAAAGCTCATTTTAGTTAATGAATGACCTGTTATTGAGGTCTTTGTCATGTCCAAAACATCCAGGGGGCTCCCACAATTTATCTCCACATTCACTCTTTCAGGGATTTGAAAAGGTCACAAAATGCTCAGAAAAAGGGAACTTTTGTCCATCTGAAGCAGAATATTGGTGATACCTCTTCATGTTAAGTAATGTTGTTAGATTTAGTCTTAGTGAAATGCAGGGTAAGTTTGGTACATGTTTTGTGTGAGTAACACATCTGGGGTTGTCTTGCAACACTTCTCTTTAATATTAATGGAGCTATTAACTATGGGACCTTACATCTCCCCTTTCCTATCAAAGAAGACAATGTACATTACATTACATTAAGTCATTTAGCAGACGCTTTTATCCAAAGCGATTTACAAATGAGGACAATGGAAGCAATCAAAATCAACAAAAGAGCAATGATATACAAGTGCTATAACAAGTCTCAGTTAGCTTAACGCAGTACACGTAGCAAGTTTTTTTTTTTAATAATATAATAAAAAGAAAACCGATAGAATAGAACAGGAATAGAGCAAGCTAGTGTTAGAGGTCTTTTTTTTTGCTTTTGTTAATTGTATAATAATTGAAAAGAAACATAGAATACAAAAAGATTAGAAAGCAAGTGTTAGTTTTTCGGTTTAAAGAAAACAAGCAGCAAATGAATAGAGTGCAAGTCTAAAAGGGACAAGTGTTTTTTAGGAATAGAATTAGAATAGAGAGTGCTAGAGTTAGAGGGTCAAATAATGTACAAGTATTAACGACTGAAGTACTGCGTTTAATGAATGAAACCATTTACTGGGCACTTAAAGATCAGGAAAAAATGGATTACTGATGATACGAGAGGATAAACTTCCGCTGTCTCATTCTGATGTCACAGATCCTATTCGTTTAAAATATAAATGGCGAAGGATTTCATTTGAGTTAACTGAAATGTTTTACAGACTGATTGATAATGAAAATACGTTCTTTTCTTTTTTTTTAAAGGTGAAGTTTTTTTTCTTCTTCTTCCAGGTAGCCTACAGTATAATGCGCTTGTGTATAGCGCTTCATATGAAAGAGGAAGCACGGAAGTGAATATTTATTACTATTTCCTTATAGACTCGGATTTTCCCTGATGATGGATACGACAGGTATAAATTCGCGTAAGCACTTCAGGAAAAGTATAACAGTCAGGCCCGACGCAACTTGAGCACTGAACTTGAGCATCTCTGCGGGTCACCTAAGTTTTGATAATAAAGCTCGAATAAATTATGTGGGTAAGTAGAACATTTTTTTTATGTACCTAGATACATATTTTAGACAGTAATGGATATCTTAATCTATAAAATGTATGATTTTCTTTATAAAGAAATTGTTATCGCATTCTGCTTATTTGATTTATCTATTTATTCTTTATCTTGCAGTCTCCGCTGTTTTTTGGAATATTTTTCTTCTTCTTGTCGGAGAACATCGTGAAAGGAAAGAATTTGGGCAGTTTCAGTGAATGTGAACATGGGTTCAAGAAGATTCACAACAAGCTTCTTCACTCCTTGCCTGCACACAAACACGGGCGTCTCCAGTCCGTCCATCATACGGCGGACTCCTGTGAAGATTTCACTCGGTTTTCATCAGCACTCAATGACCGCTCACTGTCCCCCTGGCGGATAAGGTAGATATAGCTCTCTAAACCATGCATTTTAGCAATACCATAGAAATCAGAACCCTGCAAAAAACTCTACGCTAGCATTGCTGATGACGTAATCGAACCGTCCTTCCTATATTTAAATGTTTGACTATTTTGTAGTAAACTTCAAATATATTTTATTTGATACATACTTATATAATATATACGTTCATAAATAGTTTAATATTGTACAATCGTCGTTTTTTATTCGATTACGTCATTTTCAGTGCATCATGCGCTGCGTGGTTGCCTCATAAAAGAGTTCACAGTCTTGTACTTTTGTTATTTTGTCTAATTTTCAAAACCTTTTATAATTTTTTGCTTCAAAAGAAAGTTTGTAATGTTGCAATTAACCACGAAGCTGGCTATGTGTATGTATATTTATTTATTTATCTTGGGGGGGAAAATATGAATGGAAAAGAACCAAGGCTGTTGAAAGCATTATGAGGCATGTTTAGTAGTGTTTAAACAATAATGCAAAATCATAAAGTAAAACAACTGTGTAAATGCAATATCTATTTAACCAATTTTAGCTACTTGCTACATGACTAATGTATTTGTATCTGTTGTATTTTCAGAACTGTGGAAAATGCAGACATGTACCCCTCCAAATACGAGGAAGCAGAGTGTTTGTGTGATGGATGCATCATTAACGGGGTTGAAAATAGGACCTACAACTCTGTGCCTGTGAAGCAAACTCGTTTATTCCTGAAGAAGGTTCCTTGCCTGTCTGACCCCAAAAAATACTCCTTAGAGTATAAACTTGTGTCAGTGACTGTAGCCTGTACTTGTGCAGTTCCTAAGCAGTAAGAGAGGATACTAGCTACTATATAGACCAAAACTGTAGAGACGTGTCTCATGTACCATGTCGTGTTTGTTTTAAAATGCAATTTTTGATAAGGTACTTACATTGTTTGATATGCTTATATGTATAAGCTGAAAGGTTGCATGTATCACATGGTTTATTTTTTAAGCTTACAAACCAACATAATCTTTCTTGAAAGGAAGAAATATCGGTATTATTGTAAAACACTACTTTATTTAGGCTTTATTTATTTATATGATAATAACTTATTTACTATTTATTTAACTTTTATGTACATTATGCTAATATGTGAACTTTTGATTTTGCGCCTACCTGTCCTTGTTTGAATCAGGCCTGAAATTCAGCTCTGTCAGTGACAGGAATGGTTGGATTAAGTTAGTTTCAGTGATAACGATAAAATGTATTAGAATGTTTTTTTCTCCTCAACTTTGCATTTGCAAAATTGTATTATGTTTATATTGTGTAAAACAAACAGAATAAAGTCTATG